TGCCTGGGTTATAACTGCCCTCCTCCACACCCCCACCAGCCCACCAACCAAAGGTGACAAACTCAAGCATAGGGTAACCCAAGAGCCCCCACCCTGAAGCCAATACAGTATCATCTGGACCCCTGGGTTCCTGGACCCCTTCCTGCTCCCAGCCTGGGCTCCGGGGACCCGGGCATCCAGGCTGTTGCCCACTCACCTCCTCTGCTCAGGTGAGGCCTTTTTCTTAGGGGTTGGCTTGGGCGGGGGCTGGGTGCCAGCCTTGGGGGAGGGCTCCGAGGAGGATGAGGACGAAGACGAGGACGAAGATGAGGAGGAGGAGGAAGAGGACGAGGAGGATGAGGACGAAGACGAGGATGACGATGAGGTGCTGCTGGAGCTGCTGGAGTGCCGCTTCCGCTTGGCCACCTCTGGGGGGCGCCCCTCACGTCCGGGCTCCTTCAGCGTGGGGCTGGGCGGCCTGTCGCAGGGATGGAGGGGAAGAAAGGGATCATGGGGTGGCACCGTTGGGTGTGGAGATCGGGGAGGCCACCAAGAGGGCTGAAGGGGACCCCTAGGGGAGCCACAGGGGGGCACAGAATAGGCAAGGGGGGGCACTGTAGGAACTAGGATGGGTGGTAGGGGGGCAAGGAATGGGGTGGGGGCCACTGTGGGGAACAAAGCAGGGCCAGGGACCACTGGGGTGGAGGGCTTGTGAGCCTGGGGACCACCCAGGGACACCACATTGTGAGCCCGGGGACCAACAGGGGATGCCACAGGGCAGAGTGGCAAAGGATGCACCAGGGGAGCTGTGGCACTGCAGGGATGGGGATGGGGGCTTGGAGGGAGGGGGTGGGGGGCAGGAGGGCAGGGCTCTTACTGTGCATGGGTGATGGGGGCCGGGGGTCCGGCCGGGCTGCCCGGGGCCGAGCTGGAGCTGGAGTCCGAGTCTGAATCCGAGGAGGATGAGGACGACGAGGAGGATGATGATGAAGATGAGGAGGAGGAGGAAGAGGAAGAGGAGCCAGAGGGCCCAGGGGGTGGGGCTGGGCCCAGGGGCAGGGCCTCGGGCTCTGCCTTGGCCCCCTGGCAGGAGGAGGAAGACGAGGACGAGGAGGAGGAGGAGGACGAGGAGGATGAGGAGGAAGAGGATGAGGAGGACCGGGGCTTCTCTGCCAGACCGGGGGCATCACCTTGAGGGCCGGGGGCAGGGGGGCAGCGCTCCAGGATGGGGGGGGACCGGGAGGCCCGGGCAGCGCTGCTCCGGGGCCGGGTGGTGGCTGGAGGAGCTGGAACCGCTGCCTGGGGGGCTCGGGACACGTCCAGCTTCGGTGGGGACCGGGAGCGGGGTCGCACCGGGCTGGCCGACGCCTCTCGTTTGCCCCGACAGGCCCGGGGGCTCTCCGGGGACGATGGTGGGCTGGCTGCCCCCCTCCTCCTCAGGGGGCCTCGGGGTGTGGCGGGGGCCCCTGAGCTGGCACGGCTGAGGCGAGGAGGCGAAGGCGAGGGCCGGGACCTGGAGGCCATCTTGGGCTCTGGGGGGGACCCGCCCCGGCCTCTCACAGGCGGAGATCTGGATGACATCTTGGCTTCCGGAGAGACCCCTGACCTGCCCCGGGCGGGGGGCGAGCGAGATGCCTTCCTGGGCTCCGGAGACCCCATGGCCCTGCCCCTGGAGGGTGGGGAGCTGGGGAGCTTCTTTAGTTCTGGAGAAGCTCTGAATCTACCCCGGGTGGGTGGGGACCTGGAGGCCATCTTGGGCTCCGGAGAGGACCCGGCTCGGCCCCGCGGTGGTGGAGAGCTCGGCCTCATCTTGGGCTCTGAAGGTGACCCCCCTCGGCCTCTTGGAGGCGGAGACCGCGACTTCATCTTCAACTCGGGAGAGGCCCCGGCGCGGCTCCGCACCCCTGGTGACCTAGACCCCTTTTTCAGCTCTGGAGAAGACCCGGTCCGGCCCCGTGCTGGTGATCTGGAGGCCATCTTGGATTCTGGAGATGACCCACCCCGGCCCCGTCCAGCCGGGGACCTGGAACCCTTCTTCAGCTCTGGTGATGACCTGGCCTGGCCCCGTGCCGGTGATCTTGACTTTATCTTGGGTTCTGGAGATGACCCAGCCCGGCTCCGCACTACTGGAGACCTAGAGCCCTTTTTGAGCTCTGGAGATGACCCAGCCCGGCTCCGAACTGGGGATGACCCAGCCTGGCCCCTGGAGGGCGGTGACCTGGATTTGTCCTTCAGATCTGGAGACAACCCAGCCCGGCTTCGCGCCGGAGACCTTGATCCCTTCTTCAGGTCTGGAGATGACCCAGCCCGGCTTCGTGCCGGAGACCGCGATCCCTTCTTGAGCTCTGGAGATGACCCAGCCCGGCTTCGTGCCGGAGACCGCGATCCCTTCTTGAGCTCTGGAGATGACCCAGCTCGGCTCCGCACTGGAGACCTCGAACCCTTCTTCAGCTCTGGAGACGACCCGGCTCGGCTCCGCGCTGGAGACCTTGAACCCTTCTTCAGCTCTGGAGATGACCCGGCTTGGCTCCGCGCTGGAGACCTCGAACCCTTCTTCAGTTCTGGAGATGACCTGGCCCAACCCCTTGCGGGTGGAGATCTCGATGTCACCTTGGGGTCTGGAGAGGTCCCAGCCCAGCCCCGTGCTGCTGGAGACTTCAACCCTTTCTTCAGCTCTGGAGAGACACCTTCACCACCCCTGGCGGGTGGGGATCTGCTTGTAGTCTTCACTTCTATAGATGTCCGGCCCCGGTCCCAAGCTGTCGGGGACCTTGAGACTTTCTTCAGCTCCGGAGAAGCCCCCTGGCGGCTCCGGGCAGGTGGGGATCTGCCTGGCACCTCTGGGGATGCCCCCAATCGAGCTCGGCCGGGCGGGGATCTTGATGTTTTCTTGAGCTCTGGAGGTGACCGCGACCGGCCCCTGGATGTCTTTTTCAGCTCTGGCGAGGCCCTGGATTGGGCCCTGATAGTCGGGGACCGAGACGCCTTCCTCGCCTCTGGAGAGGCTGCAGCCCAGGCCTTCAACGGTGGGGACCTAGAAGTCTTCTTGGGCTCTGGAGAGGCACCTGACTGGCCCCTGATGGGTGGAGATCTCGACTTGTCCTTAGCTGCCGGGGACAATCCCACTCGGCTCCTCGCGGAGGGTGACTTGGGCTTGTCCTTCATTACTGGGGATGATCTGGCCCGGGACCTGGATGACGGCGACCTGGACTTGTCCCTCGTTAATGGGGATGACCCAGCCCGGCCCCTGGACAGCGGTGACCTGGACTTCTCTTTTGTGATTGGAGATAGTCTGGCTCGGCCCCGGGAGGGTGATAACCGGGAAGTCTTCTTGGGCTCTGGAGAGGCTGCAGCCCTGCTCCGTGGGGGCGGAGACTTGGATGTTGTCTTGGGCTCTGGAGAGAGTCCGCAGTGGCCTCTGACAGGCGAAAGTGCCCTCCCAGGTGGGGATCTGGACATCCTCAGCTCTGGGGAGGAGCCTGAATGGGCCTGGCTGGGTGACCGAGATCTCCCCCGTGCCGGTGGAGACCTAGACATCTTCTTCAGGTCCGGAGACCCCCTTGAGGCCTTCCTGGGCTCTGGAGAGACCCCAAGCCGGGCCTTTGGGGGCGATCTGGATGTTGCCTTCAGCTCCGGAGAGAACCGAGAAACCTTCTTTGGATCTGGAGAGGGACCCGCTCGGACTCTTGTGGGCGGAGATCTAGAGATGGCCGGCAGCTCTGGAGAGCCTCTGACCCGGCCCCTGGTAGGGGGAGATCTAGAGATAGTCTTCATCTCCAGAGAAACCTGGGATCTCCCCCTCACTGGTGAGGCCTTCTTCGGCTCTGGAGAGCTCCGGGGCCAGCCCCAAGCTGGTGGGGATTGAGAAAGCTTCTTCAGCTCCGGAGATCCCCTGGATCGAGCTCGCACCGGCGGGGATCTAGAGGTCTTCAGATCTGCGTGGCCCCGGGAGGGTGGGGACCTTGAAGTGGCCTTAGGCTCTGGAGACCCCCCTGACCTACCCCGGGCAGGCGGAGACTTTGAAGCTTTCCTGAGCTCTGGAGATCCCCGAGATCTGCCCCTTGTTAGTGGGGATCTGGACGTCTTCCTGGGCTCCACAGATCCCCGGGATCTGCCCCTGGCAGCTGGGGACTTGGACGCCTTCCTGGGCTCCGGTGAGGCCTTGGCTCTAGATTGCTGCCGTAGCTCCGGGGAGGAGGTGGACCGACTGCGGCGAGCAGCCACGTGCCCCTTCTCCTTTGACCGGCTCCGACGTGGTGGTGACCTTGACTTCCTCCTGGTAGCTGGTGGAGGGGACGAGGCAGAGCGGCTCCTCCAGGGCCGTGGGGGTGGTGTCCGTGACTTCCTCAGGGCTTCAGGGCTGGAGCGGGACCGGCTGCGATGGCGGTGCCTGGCTGGGGAGCGTGACCGCCTCTTGGGGGCCGGTGTGGAGCTGGACGAGCGGCGGCGGCGGCGGCGGGCTGGGGGCGTGCGTGACTTGGGGGCTGGCGGGGATGAAGCCGAGCGGCGGCTCC